AAAATGAAACAACAGTGAACAGAGAAAGTGAACATTGCTAAAGACATGGACTAATGTCTGTTTTATTTATAAGAAACAGGAAAATGTAGTAACTTTCCAGTTCAAGCTGGAAAGGGGCAGGGGACACACACAGCACAGGCACTGAGTTCAACTTGGCAGTAACCCTACAATAACTACAGGCCAGAAAACAGCTGAAGAGCCAAACAAAATGAGTGTAATTGACAGAATCAGAATATTAAGAGTTAGAAGGGGCTATAGTGACTATTTAATATTAGCAAACATTAGCAGGGCAAAAGGTTCTATAAAAAAGTGGATATTAGGGAGAATAAGTCTGAGAAACTTATAAAGCTTACTAAAGTATTAAAGATTCTCAGATGTACTATGGAAAAGAAACCTGTTTAATTTTAAAAAAACTGATACTTCATTTGTTTGACCACAGAGTCCTTTTAAAAAATAATACCTCATAATATACTCAGGACTAGGCAATATTTCTTTTATTTTACAGATATGAAAACTCTGAGGGAGGCTAAATTGTTTGCTTAGTGTAGCAGAGAAAGTGACAATGGGAACTGGGACTCAGATGCTTACCTCTCAGTCCTACTCTCTACTCATTCTACTGGTCTAAGAAAATAAAGCAAAAGTGGGTGTTCCAACATTCAAAGCAATTCTGGGTTAAACTAGGCCTGTGAAAGGAATTATTGAGGACTGATTTTTTTCCTCCTTCAATAAACAAATTAAGTCCTTAAACATTGTTCTATTATCACTTTTTTATTATTAATGTTTCTGCTCGTCTATTTTCATGGTAGTGAATACCTATTCTTAGAGTCTACTACTTTCTCTTTAGTAAGAATGGACTCCCGCCCACCCACTTTTTGTCCATTATGTCCACAACATTAACCACATGCTTGATTTATGCTCTCGCTCCAACCAGTGCTCCTATAGTGATGGGATAGGACCCTGCTCTTAAAATAGACTACGCACATTCATCTGGGAGATGTGGCACAGTGCCAAGGATACTTAAAGTCACAGGACAATCCTAGTACATCCTCTTTAACCACTGGTTTACTAAAAGATTTAGTGGGGGCAGGGTGGGGAAGAATTTCTACATGAAAATAAACAAATACATTAAAACTCACAGTACAAAAAGTCACATGAATTTTTAAGATTAAAAAATAAGATATGAAAGGAATACTGTAGCTAACGCAGGATCCACTGGATGACACCTCCCTGGACTCTCAAGGTTGCGCCTACTGTCTCCTCTGATGGATGTCACTGGATACATATTCCACAGGGATCTAATTTTAGTTCGTAACTGGAGCTGAAGGTCAGCCACCTAAATCTGATAGTTCTAAACTTTTGCGCCCTGTGTACAGCACACGTGAGTGTGTGAGTGTATGTGTGTGCACACAAGACAGAGAAAGAGAGAGAGAGAGGTATTAAATTCTAAAATAAGCTTACTATAATTAACAGTTGGAACAGTGTTGTCAGTTCTACAAGACAGGCCTATTAAAAATTTGTATTTTATAAAAATATTAAACAATCACTGACTCACTGCCAGAATTCTAAACTGTGCTTTTAATAAAAGTTGGAGAAAGGATTCTGAAGGTCAAATTTGGAATTTCTTTATAAAAAGCTAAAGATGAAATTTTCTAAATGAATACTCATGCAGCTGGGTCCATTTGATATTTAGCTTAATATTTTATCTGTGCACTCTTGTATGTTTCTTTTCCTGCTTGTAGTATGGGAGGTGATGGTAATTCTCACTTTTTATGTAATGGATACTGTCCTTGTGAGTAAGGTTTTATCTCACTTCCTAAATTTCACCCCTAGTTCCCTTACTGCACATGTACACTTTTCAGTAAGACAGTGCTTCTGGCTATGTTCTATACCATGTTAATCCTGCCAAAAAGACTGAAAAGAGCGCAGAGGAACAACAATTACATAAGTTTGGCTCAAGTTTTTTTTGTTAATTAGCAATCCTGAGAAAGACATGTTGCATCATCGAGAGTTCATTAAGGGATAGGAAAGACCACTTAGGTGTAAATGGAAACACAACATCAATCAGCTGCCCATCCTTTCTTGACTGAGGGCAGAAATGGGCATGTCAAACTTTTTATTTCTCTTCAAATGCAGTACCAGCCAACTCTGCTTCTCTTACTACTGAAGAGTCTTTTTATTTTTCAGAAAGCCCTTTTCTTCACTACCTATGTAAAACATATTTTAGTATTTTAATATACTGGCAAATACAAAAGTATCATCATTTGTTGCTTATTATAATTTACCAAATAAGGGTCGTTATCTCATTTAATCTTCAGCAAATTCTTAGCACAAGCTGTAGTCTGATTATGCAGTGTACTAACAGGGCTGGAAGATGGACACTGTCACAACATATATCTCATAGCTTAGTGGCTAACAGACATCATGGTCCCATGGATCTCTACAGCTCCTTTGCCTTTTTGCCTTTTTCAGTTTATCAAAGTCTCTTCCTATATAGTCTCTTTAGGATTTCTTTGCTTTGTGTCCAATGCCATCTACCCCACGACACTGAACTATTCACTCCGTACTACTCTATCTCTGAATCCTTGGTTCTCAGCTGCAACGGCCCAGGTATGTACAGAAGATAGTCAGGGGGCACTCTGGTGGTAAGCTGATGTTACGGACTGAATGTTTGTGTCCCCCATTAAATTCTATATTGAAGCCCTAGCCCCCAATGTGTTGGTATTTAGAGATGGGGCTTTGGGGAGCAAATTAAGGGTGAGGTGAGTTCATTAGGGAGGGGCCCTGGTCCAATGGAATTAGTGCCTTTATAAGAAGAACCACTAGAGGGCTAGCTCACTCACAGTCTCCCACCACCCTTCTCTGCACAAAGAGGTCACATGAGCACACAGTGAGATGGCAGCCACCTACAAGGGAAGAGGAAAGGCCTCAGGGCAAAACCTATTGCTGGCACCCTGATCTTGGACTTCCCATAGCTTCCAAAACTGTGAGAAATAAATTTCTGTTGTTTAAGCAAGCCATCCAGTCAATGGTATTGTTAATGGCAGCCAGAGCAGACTAAGATAGCTGAGAAGAGGGACAAGAGGCAAGTTAAGGTGTCCCACTGAGACAGTTGTGAGATTTAGAGATTCTTAAAGACACATGAAGGGATGCCTGGGTGGCTCAGTCACTAAGCGTCTGCCTTCGGCTCAGGTCATGATCCCAGGGTCCTGGGATTGAGTCCTGCATCGGGCCCCTTGCTTGGTGGGGAGCCTGCTTCTCCCTCTTCCTCTCCCCCTGCCTGTATTTGCTCTCTTCTCTCTGACAAACAAATAAATAAAATCTTTAAAAAAAAAAAAAAAGGCACACGAAGACACTAGTGATGTAGCAGAAAAAGCACAGAACAGAGTATTTGGTTTCTCTCTAGTCCCTAGTACTACTATTTTCTGAACCTGGATCTGGAGCAATTTTCTTTATCTAAAGCTAAATTTCCCCATGCGTAAGAAATGTATCTGTATCATAGAGTTACTGTCATTAGTTAATATTGATAGCATCTAAGAGAACATACTCTGTTATTCACCTTATATGTTCCTTCTTGGGCAACAGTACAATTGAAGTGAAGAAAGCACCTGGCTTCAAGTACTAGCTTTGCCCTTGTGGCTAGGTGATCTTGGGCAAATTTCTTGAAATCACTTGTGCCTCGTTTCTTCATCTCTAAAAACAGGAATAACATCTAGGGCTTATAAATATTAAATGAGGTTATATATTTAAAAATCTTTAGCTTGAGGTAGAGTAGAGGCTAATGCACCTCACATCATAAAGACGGCCAGATGGACAAACATTAACAGGCATACTCTACACAGGCACAATATGGCTAGGAAATTTTTATCTGTATTTGTCTTTTAATGGCAAAGCCACTTGAAAAAGGAAAATGCTGATGTTATAAACATAACATTGCAATTATGTATTAATTTTATAGATTCTATGGTGTTCACTTGGAATCTATAGTGTCCATTACTGAGCACTTGTGTACTCAGCCCCCATATAGGCACAGAACTCAAAATGTTCCCAACTTAAAATTCAAGTACATGCAAATTATTCAAGAGAAATAAATTCTAAGTGACAAGAAGTCTATTTTGGGTTGGGGAGCTAAAAAGCACATGACTCAAGTTGTTTATATATTAGGAAGACTGAACATGCGTAAAATGAATGAATAAGGAATGTAAACGTATTTCAATGTATAGCAATTTAAGCTGTGTATTAAAAGACTGAAGGAATAAACTATACAGAATTCAGCCAGAGAAAGCTTCTTGATAAATATGAGTATTAGGCAATAAGTGGGGAAAAAATGATACAGATGGTGTGGCAGAAAGGAGCTGGGGAGACAAACCGAACAGTGGACAAAGGTAGAGGCAGAGAGGGATATGGGTAAAGTAGGGGGATCAACCGAAGCAGATTTAGAGTTCGTATTAAGTAAAAGCTCTATAACAATTAAAGCTATCTGACAGCTGAGGGGCTGCTGTGAGCTTCCTGTTACTGAAAGTATTCAGAGTGTGATGACCCTTGGTGCAAGATACCTTAGAAGGAATCACAGTACTAGAAGATATTCTGGGTCCCTTACGACACTGTGAATTCCCTGAGGAGCACTGAAGGCAGAAAAGGAGACAGAGGAGCTGGGTTGAGTCTTAGCTCTTCCATTCATTAATTGTGACCTTGGGCAAATCAACTTCTCAATTTTCCATCTATAAATGGGAAGTTGAGAACACTGGAGATGTCTGTTCAGTCAGTAACTCTTTCAGGTCCCTAGGAATTTTTAATTAGTCAAAGACAGACATACATGTTCTCCCCTTTCCTTAGTACACAATCAAACTTTGTAAGGGAGAAAAGAGCTAACTGCTAAGAAAAAGAAACTACATTTTTGGCAAAAAAAAAAAAAAAAATCTGCAGTAAGCGTAATTCCTTATGATCAAGTACTGCACGGCTTAAGGGGAGAGCTGACACTACATACTATCCTATCCAGTCACGCTGCAAAGCATGCTCTTCTGTTTGCTGTCAATGCTGATAATTAGCTCAGTGTCAAAGCTTTGTCTATGCTCTGCATCAAGTTTCAAATTTTAGAAGCCTAAAATCAGAAAATGAATAGAATCAATTCCTAAGCTATACAACAGGTCAATTCAATTATTAATGAGTGGCAGTATGGTGTAGCACATGGGCTGTGGAGACAGACTGCCTGGGCTAGGATCATGGCCTTGCACATCACTAGTTTAGGCAAGTACCTTCCTGTGTGCCTTAGTTTCCTCATCTGCAAAGCAAAATAACAGTACCTACTTTATAGCCTGGTTGTGAGGATTAAACATGTTAATATTCATACACTGCTTAGAATAATGATGGACAGGTAGTGTATGTTACCTACTAGTATTTAACAACAAGCTTTACTGAGATATAATTCACATATCATAAAGTTCACCCTGTTAAAAGTGTACAATGCACTGGGGCACCTGGGTGGCTCAGTTGGTTAAGCAACTGCCTTTGGCTCGGGTCATGGTCCCCGAGTCCTGGGACTGAGTCCCACATTGGGCTCCCGGCTCATCGAGGAGCCTGCTTCTCCCTCTGACCCTCTCCCCTCTCATGCTGTTTCTCTCTCTCAAATAAATAAATAAATAAAATCTTTAAAAAAAAAGTGTACAGCGCACTGGTTTTCAGTATACTCATTCATGTACAACCATCATCATCACTGTCTCATTTTAGAACATTCTCCTTACCAAAAAAAGAAATCCAATAGTCAGAGGTTAACTCCCCATTCCCCTCTCTCTCTATCCCTTATGCAACAACTAATCAACTTTGTTACTCCAGATCTGCCTACAGATCTTTAGACATTTCATATAAATGGAATCATACATTATGTAACCTGTCTGGCTTCTTTCACTTAGCATAATGTTTTCAAAGTTTACCCATGTTGTAGCACTTATCAATTATTATTTTTTTTTGGCTGAATAAATGCTTCATTGCATGGTTAACATGTTTTGTTTATCCATTCACAAATTGATAGACATTTGGGTTGTTTCTACCTTTTGGCTATTATGAATAATGCTGCTGTAAACATTCACACACAAGTTTTTGCGTGGACATATATCTTCTTTTGTGTAGATACCTAGGAGTACAATTGCTGAGTTTAACCTTTTGAGAAACTGACAGCCTGTTTTCTAAAATGGCTGCACAATTTTATATTCTCACCAGTAAGGTATAAGGTTTTTGATTTCTTCACGTCCTTTACAACACTTGTTATTATCTGATTTTTTTATTCTAGCCATACCAGCGAATGTGAACTGGAATCTCACTGTGGCTTTGATTTGCATTTCCCTGGTGACTAATGACGTCGTTATCATTTTGATCATGTGTTTATTGGCCAATTGTATATCTTTGGGAAAATGGCTATTTGGATCCTTTGCCCATTTTCTACTTGGGTTGTCTTTCTATTGAGTTCTTTATGTAGTCTAGATACAAGTCTCTTACCAGATATATGATTTGAAAATACTGTCTCCCATCCTGTGGGTTGTCTTTTCATTTTCCTAACAGTGTCCCTAGAGGCACAAATTAACTTTGATGAAGTCCAATTTATCTATTTTTTGCTTTTGTTGCTTGTGCTTTTGGGATCATATCTAAGAATCCATTGCCAAATTCTGGGTCATGACGATTTATCTCTGTTTTCTTCTAAGAGTTTTATGGTTTATCTCTTACATTTGGGTCTAATCCATTGAGTTAACTTTCATATATGGTATGAGGTAAAAGTTTAGCTTCATTCTTTAAAATGGGACTATCTAGCTATCACAGCACCATTTGTTAAATGACTGTTCTTTCCCCAATTGAATGGTCTTGGCATCCTTGTCAAAAATTAGTTGACCAGAGACACATGGGTTTATTTCTGGACTCTTGACAGTCTTTCATTGATCTACATGTATATACATATGTTTATATTTAATCTATCCTCATGCCAGTACCACACTCTCTTGCATACTGTTGCTTGGTAGTACATTTTGAAATCAGGAATTGTGAGCTAAGTTTGTTCAAGATTGTTCTGGCTATTCTGAATCCCTTTCCATTCCATATGAATCTTAGAACTGTCTTGTCAACTTCTACAAAGAAGCAACCTGGAATTCTAAAAGGTAATTCATTAAATCTGTAGATCAATATGGGAAGTACTGCCATTTTAACAAGTCAGTCTTCCATGAAATGTTTTTCCCATTTATTAGATTTTATTTAATTTCTTTCAACAACATTTTGTGGTTTTCCTAAAAACTGAGTTATTTCCCGAGTCTAAGTTTTTTTGGTTCTTGCTCAAGGGCTTACTTAGCATGTACATCTTTTCAGAATCAGCTCCAGATTTATATTAATTCCAGTAAGATATAGAAACATTATTTCTACATGCTATTCCCTTCCCCTTTTTGTGCATTACTGTTGTTATATATATCTATGAATGTTACAAACCCAACAATATATCATAACTATTACTTTATATATAAATTTTGTCTTTTAAAGACCCTGAGGAAAAAGGAAAACAATCATATACTTATACATTTTGTTATGTTAGCCTTCTTATTTATCTTTTTGGATTCTCTTGATTTGTTCTTGAGGATCTGAATTACTATCTGGAGTCACTTCCTTAGTCTAATACAACTTTGCTCTTACCCACCTTTGTGCTATTTGGCAAATATATTACATTTCTATATGTTACTGGCTCAACAATACATTATATACGTTTTATATAAATGCTTTTAAAATCAGTTAAGAAAGGAGAAATGTATGCATTTATATTGTCTTTTACAATTACATAATTACTTTACCAGTGCTTTTTCTTTCTTCATGTAAATTCAAATTACGGTTTGGGGTCACTTGTTTTCAGTCTAAAGAACTTTTAGTATTCTTGTAAGGTGGGTCTGGAACAAATTCTTTCAGTTTTTTATTTATCTGGAAATGTCTTTATCCTCTTTGCACTCTTAAAAGATAGCTCTACTGGTAATAGGATTTTGGTTGAGGTTTTTTTCTGAGCTAAATGAATACGTTATCCCACTGCCACTGGCCTACATTTTTGAGAAGTCAGCTGTATGTTTTGTAGAGCTTCCCTTGTAAATGATGAGTCATTATTCTCTTGCTGCTTTCAAGATTTTCTCCTTGTCTTTGGCTTTTAGCATTTTTACTAATGATGTATTTGTTTGTGGATCTCTGACTTTATCCTACTCAGGATTATTAAGCTTCCTGGATGTGTAGATGGTTTTCCAATAAATTTGGGAAATTTTTAGCCATCACTTCTTTCAATACTTTTTCTTCATTCTCTCTCTCTTCTCCTTCTGGTACTCCCATTATCTATATCTGTTGGCATTAATGTAGTCCCATATTTCTGAGTCTTTCTTTACTTTTCTTCTTTTTTCTCTGTTATTTACCTTGTATACTCTCTATTGATCTATCGTCAAGTTTGTTTATTCTTTCTTCTGCCAGTTTCAACCTAATGTTGAGCCCCTTTAGTGAATTTTTATTTCAGTTACTGTACTTTATTATACCTTTCAACTCCAAAATTTCCATTTGGTTCTTTTTCCTTCTAACAGTTTCTCTCTTTGTACTGACAGTCTTCATTTGATGTGACATTGCCATCAACCCTTGCATTACTTTTAAAATCATGGCTTCCGTTAGTTCTCTGAATGTAAGTATAATGGCTACCTTGAAGTCTTTGTCTGTTAAACCCAATATCTGGTCATTCTCACAAACAGTTTCTGTCACCTCCTTTTCCCCTAGTGTATAGGCCATCTTTCTGGTTTCTTCACATGTCTCATATTTTTTTTAGAAACTGGACATTTTATATAATATATAGTAGCAACACTAGATACTGCATCTACCCTCCAAGACTTGCTATTGTTATTTGCTCAGTGACTGGATGAGTTATTTTAGTTAAGTATATTCTAACCCTCTCCCTCTCTACAGACGTTGCTCCTCAGGGGGCTCACCCTCAGTTATGCCACAGTCATCCTAAAATGACAGTGGCTTTGGCTGGCTCCTCTTTGACCCTCTCTTTCCCTGATCACACCCAGCTGTTAAGTTCCACTAACTACCAGCTGATTGATGTATTGTCTTCAACAATGTCCTGGGCATAAATTGCTCCACAAACTGAACCAATCTATTAGGGCTCCTTTGAAGGGATAGTTCCTGAGGTCAGTATTTAGGATTTGTTTGAACCACAGGAGAGTTCCTCCCAGCTGCCTCTTTCCCCTTTTCTCTCTAGCAAACTAGCCAGTCTTCTGGTTAGCCTGCATCTCCAATGACTATCAATCTCCCTCCAGTTCCTTTCACCACAGCCTGCACCCTCAGGCATGCACTTCACACTCTGTTGCAAATGATGTTGGTTCCTTTTGGGAGAGATTCAGAGATCTCTTTTATAAGGTCCGCTTATTCCTCTGGGCACAGTTTCTGAGCTCTGGTTCTGATGCTGGGGGCAAAGACAATGTCATGCTTCTCTCTGGGTGACACCTCCTTGAGAGCTTGCGGAGGGGACAGAGGAATAGCAGCCCCAGCTATCCTCCGCTTGCCTCTCCCAGAGTAGAATCTGCATCCCACAGGCCAGGGCAAGGGCAACTGGGGCGCCTCTATTTTCTGTGGTGCCATATTCACAGTAGAACCTCTGTCCCGTGGGGGGAGGGCTGGGTGAAAGGAGGGAGACCCCACCTCTCAACTGCACTCACCTAGAATTTAGTCTCAGCAACAGGTACCTGGGGCAGGATGAGAAATGCTGATCTTACATCCCTACTGGGAAGATAGCCTTCCACCTGAGAACTGAGCAAAGAGAGAGCTCTATGTTCTTGAATGCATCAGTGTGGAGAACAGTTTGCATCTCACTCAGCTAACAGCGGGGAGGGAGCAGGTCTCAGTTCAAATACCATAGACTTTTACTTTTCTTACTGAGTTTTAGTAGATTTTCTTGAACAAGTATTTCTTCACTGACTATGCTCTTAGGACTATTTCCAGAGACTTTAAATGATTGTTTTTTTATTTTTACCAGTTTCAGTGGGGAACAGGTCTATAGAATTCCTCATAGTGTCATGACTGGAAGTGGAACTTCTTGATGCGTTGTTTTTT